AAAAATGCTCCCAGGGTTAAAAAAGTATTCTGCAATATTCTGCAGACTACTATGTTTTAAAGGACATGCTTATTTATTTCTTTGCCCTGTGGATAGATCCTGCCTGTTGCTCTATGTAATGAGAAATGCCATCCAGGTTACAGACAAAAAAAGAAGGAAGGACAACCATTCTGCTGCTATGAGTGTGTTCCCTGTCCAGACGGGAAGATTTCAGACATGAAGGGTAGGAAACACAATAATTAATATTATGAATTATAAATTGAATAGATGCAGGTAAGAAAAAGAAAACACAATAATTTCTTTACTGGTACTAAGGTCAATAGACTATCTTTGAATGTTAAACAACTCACACCAACAATGTCTAAAGCATTGTTTCATTCTTCAGAATCTGCAAAAACCAAAATATTTAAAGAGTATTTTGATATACCCCCAGAACAAGCATCACTCTCACATGGAGGTTTGATAGGTATGTACCCAGGGACCAGAGAGAAAGAGATAGAGAGACAGGGAAGATAAATGATAGATAGGTGGATAAATACAGTGGTGGGATTCAGCCGGTTTTCATTTATTTGCCCAAACCATTAGTTAATTGCTTGTGAAGTTCAAAAAACCTGTTCAAAATAAAGTGCAAGAGAGAGGGTTTTCTTCTTCTCTCTCTCTTCAATTAATATCTCCAGGCAGACAGCCAAGAACCATTTAACATTTGCAGCTGGAATGCAGCTGAAACACGCCTTGAATAAAGTCAATAAACAACAGAAACTGATAGGATTAGGGTAGGGAAATCAATCACCCTTCTAGGGATGGGATTAACCTTTTCTTTTCAGGAAGAAGGACAAGATTAAAAACATTTTCATTATAAAGGGTATTAAGTAACACTTCTGTGATCAGCTGATACTCCCTGGAGTTCCCCAAGACCCTTTATAGCTGCTGCAATGTTGGCTATTTCTTGTTTCTTCCTGGGAGAAAAAAGATATAGGAGGCGACAATGATGCAGCTTGATCATACATACTTGATAATGCATGTGTTTATTGTTTCTGCTGTAATGCCAGCTGTATTGTTTATGCTCTGAAGGACCCAATTTGGAACATAGAGAACATAGAATAATAGAGTTGGAAGGGTTAATGGATTTTGGCAGCATGCCCAGGTTTTAATTAGTCTGCGTGGCTGCTCTTAGTTTCTCTCTCAGCATTTGCTTTGGGATTTTGACTTTTTTTTTAAAAGGAGAATGGCTGTTTTAAGTTTTTTTGCATTGGTTTAGTGGTTCCAAGCAGGTCTTTTGGGGGTGTACTTCCCTCACTTTTTTTGAAAGCCTGTAGTGATGGAGCACCCACAACTTCTGAAGGCAAATTATTTCATTGATTGATTGGACTTACCCTTAGGAAATTTCTCCTTAGTGCTAGGTTGCTTCTCTCTTTGGTTAGTTTCCATTCATTGTTTTTGTCATGCCTTTTGGAGCTTTGGAAAATAGATTGAATCCCTCATTTTTGTAGGGGCCCCTCAAATTTCCTGTCAGAACAATTAATCAGTGTAACTATTTGCCTCCAGAAGTTGTAACTGCTCCAACACTGGAGCAGTGTTTTTAAGAAGAGATTGGTTAACCATTTGTCTAAAGTGGTGTAGGGTTTCCTTCCTAAGCATGGGGTTAGACAAGAAGACCTCCAAGGTACTTTCCAACTCTGTTATTCTATCCTAAATATTGTGCTATTTTATTCTGAATTGGAGAAATTTTCTAAGGGTGAAATTAATCAAGTTGGCCACACCCACCCAGTCAAATGATGACCCAGCCATGCCCACCCAGCTAGTCAATGGGGCACAGAACTAGTTCTTCAGTTATTTGAATCCCACCACTGGATGGATAGGTAGGTAGGTAGATAAATGAAGAGATATACCAAGACAAAAAAGAGCTTCCTCTCCCTCCTAGGACATGCTTACTTTTTTTCAATTTAGAGTTTGGGTCAAAGCAATAAATTGTTACCAACCATAATTAGAAAACCATTCATGATACTAGTGAAAATCTACAGTAGTTTAGAACACAAAGTGCTTATTAGGTATTAGGTGTGAGGAATAATCTCTCACAACAATACATGTGTCACCTGGTCAATTCTATAAAATAAATACAAAAAAATTCTTATAAATTTATATGAGTGGTGTGGTGGCCCAGAGAGGCTGTGAGTTTGATCCTAGGTAGAGGCAGATATATATCTCTGGTCTTGATGAGAATGTATCTACTGAATTTAACTCAACATTGGCATCTGGCCAGTAAACATTCAGCTCCATTCAGCTGCCCATCCTCCATCTTCCAGGGGATTATGGGGTCATTAAAAGAAGATGATTCTTAGAAATGTATATATTTGTAAAGTAGCCCAGAAATTAGCTCTTGACTTCAGGGTAAAATGTCCTGAATAGAATTAAGAGGTAAATCAGCTATGATTAATATTCTGACACTTCAAACTTATTTTCTGTTTCTTGTCAAACATTTCTATGTAAAACCTGAAAGAAAAGACCACTCAGTTCATTGAATTATATATCTACTTATATTTACTTTTAGACATGGACAACTGTTTCCAATGCCCAGAAGATCAATTTCCACATGAGAACAAAAATCAATGTATTGCCAAGATATTACATTTTCTCTCTTTTCTGCATCCTTTGGGGATTAGTTTAACATTTTTGGCTCTCTTTTTTGTTCTGCTCACAGTTTTGATACTAGGAATTTTCATCAAGAACCAGAACACTCCCATTGTCAAAGCCAACAACCGGGACCTCACCTACTGTCTGCTCATCTCCTTATTGCTTTGTTTTCTCTGTTCTTTGTTATTTATTGGCCAACCACAAATAGTGACTTGCTATTTACAACAAATTACTTTTGGTATCATCTTCACAGTGGCTGTTTCTTGTATATTAGCAAAAACAGTAACTGTAGTTCTAGCTTTTATGGCCACCAAACCAGGATCTAGGATAAGGAAATGGGTTGGGAGAAGACTGACCATTATCATCCTGTTCAGTTGTTCCTTCATTCAGGCTTGTATTTGTGCTGTATGGCTGTTCACAGCTCCTCCTTTCCCAGAGTTTGATATGTATTCCCTTCATGGAGAAATTATAGTGCAATGCAATGAAGGATCACTTGGTATGTTTTATTCTGTCTTGGGCTACTTGGGATTTTTGGCTATTGTCAGCTTCACTGTGGCTTTCCTAGCCAGGAAGCTACCAGATACTTTCAATGAAGCCAAGTTCATCACTTTCAGCATGCTCGTCTTCTGCAGTGTTTGGCTGTCCTTCATTCCTTCATATCAGGGCACTAATGGCAAATATATGGTGGCTGTGGAGATCTTTTCTATCTTGGCATCTGGTGCTGGATTATTAAGCTGCATCTTTTTCCCTAAGTGTTACATCCTTATCCTAAAACCTGAACTGAACATCAAGGAACAATTGATTAAGAGAAACACTTAAGCAGAAATTTCAATGTGTAATAATCTAGAATATTATTAAATTATTCAAATATCCAGTTACACATACCACTACCCTTTTCAAGTTTTGAGACATTTCTAATAACAAAATCCTTAGTTGAGATCTGTAAATTATAAAATTTGCAAATAAGATATAAATGATTTGCTGAACTTTTGAAGTAATGGTTGAAGTTTTTCCAGAGAAAATTGTTGAAATGAATGACAGCTTGGACTATAAAGAAAGGAGTTCAGTATGTTAGTTTTCCTAGATCCCTGTGGAATTTTGATTAAAACACAGAAGAACTAAGGCATTATACATTTCAGTACATAAAGCCTAATTTACAATATGTATTCAGGACAGAC